CTACTACTACTACTACTGCTGCTGCTGCTGCTGCTGCTGCTGCTGCTGCTGCTACTGTTACTGGTACCGCTACGTCTACTACTACCGCCACTACTACTATCAGTATTACTACGGCTACTTTTACTACCACCACTACTACTACAACTATAACTACTACTGCTACTACTACTACCGCCACTACTACTACTACTACTACTACTACTACTGCTACCGCTACTACTACTGCTACTTCTACTACCGCTACTACGACTACCACCTCTACTACTACGACTACTACTACGACTACGACTACGACTACGACTACTGCTACTATTACTACTACTACTGCTGTTACTACTACAACTACATCATTTTATATTTATTTATCAATGTATTCCGTTACGCATTAGTTTAGTTACTTCAAAATCTCTTTGTAACACTTAATAGTACTTACTGACAGTACGCTGAGTTTAATGCTTGTATTCAATCATCTTCGACTCCAAAATTCACATAAAGGTAATGTAAGTATATTTGAGTAAAACGTCGGGGGATTGTTCAAATGTATAGTCTTGATATATTTCTGATTAATTTTAAGTCTATCTGTTACTTGGAGTTAAGAAATATAATCACACAGGTGCTGCAAGATTCTTATTTTTCTACCAATAAGTCCTCTCTCGTTTCAGTCACATATGTGTAAACCTTTTCCTCTAATTGCGTACGTGTTTTCATTGAATTACTTATTTTTAGAATGTACTATTGTAATAAATGTTTGAAAATGGTCTTGTGGAACAGCTGGCAAAATGGTCTCCAAGTGGCGCAAGATGATCTGTAATTTTGAACAATGTAGCGTTAACTCTTCAGAGACCACTTTTGTCTCTCTTTTGCACCCGGATGATACTATTGTTACTCCAGTTGTAAACAAGAATTATATTAGATTTTAATATTTACTTGATTTCAGTTTATAAAGGCTCCACCACCATTTACGCTAGTATTACACCCGAATATTCATATTGGTTAGAAAATTGCACAGAAGACTTTGAACAGCTACATTATTTTCTTCTGTTTATATACATAAATATTATAATCAATGCAATATATATTTATAATCATCTGATTATGAACATCCGTTTATAAATAATGCATTTTGCTATTTGGGCAAACGCTCTTCTCTGGAGTTTTTGGTGTGTACTTGATGATTGCGGTGTTTAAGGCTGAGGCAAACCTAGACAAATAAGTATAATCGTATACATGACTATTCACCTGTTAAGAAATATTCGTGCTGGTTCTCCGTCCTTGCTCTGCCATTGAATCATTAGGAATATGGTGGTAGAAGAGATTTTGAGCATTGTTCTCTGTCATTATCCAATTCTGTGCGAGAATTATTTACGTATTTATGTACGGCAAGTGTTCAATGGTGACGTTTCCTGGCGGCGTGTAAAAACCGTCGCCTCTCGCCGCCGCCGCCGCCGTTATCATTGCCGTCTCGGTTGACGTTACCGTCGGGGTCAAACCGCCCAAATGGCCAGCTATCGCCGACAACTTGCGACGCGCCGAGGAACGCCCTGCCGCCTCCGCCCACCTTCGGTGCTGCGGCGTCGGCGCGCTCCACGCAACCGCAGGCGCGCGCCTTTTCCGGTAGAGGGCGAGAGGATGTGCGCCGAAGACGTCAGCGTTAGCGAGCGTCCCTCCGAGATAATGACAGAGCTATTCGCGGATCGGCCGGGAAAACATAACCAGCCAGCGTCATCGCTTTAGCACGTTCATCGAATTGTATGCGAACTGAAAATATTTTCGTGGCGAATCTAATTCGCGGTTTTGTAACCGATAGTAGTGTCATAATTAGTCTAGCGATTTCCCCACTTTGAAGTTCTTAGGTAATACGTGTGACACATTCATCATATCTGTGAGGGTCAGGGTTGGGTGTACTATAGTGGATAACCGTTACTCAGCGTTCTTTGCACTTTTCGTAAAATAATGAAATGTATGTTTAGAGCGGATGTTGCAGTTCCAGATAATTCTTTCAATCAGTGAGCATAAAATGACAATTTTAAATAACGAGGTGTCGATATATTGTGGACATTTCTACCGAGAAATTATAATACTGGTGGCCAGAAGAATTTACATGTGTAATGGGAAACTCATCAAACAACTGGTACTCCCATAGTTCAGCTCAGAGTTTCTTTTACAATTTCACCTCACGTGGATAAGCGAGAACCTTGTGTGCGGGACGTACTATGGGATTTCCTCTCAAATCCTAGGACGAAAGCCCTTTTCTTCAAGCCTGAGACTCAGTAGAACACTTTGCGCTTGTGTCACTGAATACACTACTGAATATGGTGGTTAGACGTCAATAGTAACCGATACTCGTGTTATAGTTTTGATGTTACATAATACAACTACGTTGTTCTGCCCCACTCATTTTTTAACAAGTGTAAAATTTGAGGAAATCCATATTCTATCTCGATTTTGTGCGATGAAATACAGATTCATTAAAAGAATCCATATTTCAATTTGCCATTTGGAGTCATTAGCTTTCGGAAGTATACAATATATTTTGAGAATTAGATAGAAGTTTTTTGAACACCATTAATAAGAACTAGAAGAAATACGAATTTCTGTCGGCTAGATATTTTGAAGTCTGTGCCCTTATAAATCTACTACGCCAATCCTGTAAATTGGACTGCCCTGAAAGCTTCTTTCTTGAATATAATGGACTCTCTATGACATTTTCTACAAAATTTTACCTCTTCTTTCCATTCGTCGCACGACCACGGTACAGTGCAATTCGTTCCACATATTGCAGTCGATATCGCTCGGCGCAAGACAGGCTACTTCAGCCCCGGCGCGGCTGTCTATTAGTGCATAGTGTTTGTGTTTGTGTTTAAACAGGTCTATAGTACTGGAACACAACTATTTAAGGAAAATTATATGACTTATGCCATCAATCCAGCCACAGGGCAGACAATATTTGAAGCCCTGCCCATAATCTATAACGGTGACAACTGTGACGTTTCACCAGTTTTTAAATTTTTATTTTTATTTTTTTCAGAAGGTAAATATATAGAGAGTTACTTAAATGTAATGTTTATTACTTACTAACTTATTCTAAGCGTACATACTATACAAGGGGGGAGTTCCATTATGGGTCCTCGAATCAGGTTCTATGCTTGCGAATTTGATTTGGAATACATGGAATGGATATTTATTTTTGATTCTGGTTCTGTGGATTGGGTTTTTAATCAGTCTGAATTCGAAGAGTGCTGGGAGTTGATGAATGTTATGATAGAAATTTGTGGCAAGGTGTATTATGTAATGATTATATTTTGAATTCCTTGAGTAGCTGATTATTGGAAATGAACCATGAGGCATTAGTAATGGTTCTCAGTACCTTGATTTAAATGATCTGGAGTTTGTGGATATTGGTATTGGCGGCATCCATACATATGCGACAGGCGTACGTATTTGTGGGCCTTATTATAGTTTTATATAGTGCTAGGGCAGTTTTATATTGAATTGAACTCTGTTTAATAACGGTTTAAACTGATAGTGTTTTGCCTTGGTTTGTAATATTTTTGATTCAATGTGGTCGCTTTAGTTTAATTTTGTATCGACGTATAGTCCTAAGTATTTAACTGGTTTATTGGGAGTGTACCATTCTATAGCGATGTTGTTAGTTGTTAGCGGGGTGGGGGGAGTATATGGTCTAAGTGAGAATATTTTTGCTACTGTTTTGGTAGGGTTTAACTGTATTTTGTACTAAGCGGCCCAGCTATCAAATGTGTGCAGGTAGAATTGTCTTTTTGCTATTAGGTCTGCTAGTGAGTTGCGAGAGATGTATAATGATGTTTCGTCCGCTAATTGTGTTATATTTGATATGGAGATGTCAGCTACATAAAGATTAAACAGGGTTGGTGATGAGGGTGATTCGTGAGGTTTGGTGAAGAGGGTGATCTTTGGGGTGATACATCTGGGGTTAGAGAGGTGGCTGTTGACATTGACGGGGAACCTTCTATTTATTAAGTTGTTGATAATGGTGTGTAGGTGTGCCTATGGTGGTGTGTAGGTATGCCTATGGTGATAATGGTGTGTAGGTGTGCCTATGTTGGTGTGTAGGTGTGCATATACTGAGGTGTGCCTATTTGGGTGAGTTTGTAGCTAAGTGCTTGGTGCTATGAACTGTCAAACGCCTGTGTTATGTCTAAAAAAGAGTGCTATGGTATAGTGTTTTGATTGAAAGGCTGTGTAAATATGTTCACTCAATCTTAACAGTTGGTGTTGAGTAGATATCTTCTCTGTGAAACCGAATTGTACCTTGGGGATTGTGTTAGTTACTTTTCATTGGAAACAATACTCAACATTAATGAAATCTGCAACCGCAAAGCCACCACTGAAAAAAGAAAAAGTCCAAAAGGTCCACTACAGTGATATAGATGTTTGGATTTTGAACACTCTAGAAACAATTATAATCACTAAATTAACTGTGCAATACGTTCTGGTAATCATTATACTGTAGGTGTACTGTTATCATTATACTGTACATATACTGTAACTTTTCATGACAGTAAAGCAACCCCTTTGCAAAAGCAATCACCGAGCAGATGTAAGACATGAGAACTGTTTATTCTATAAGGAAACCGTTGAAAAGAAAATTACCCCATAACACAAGAATCTATACCAAAGAATACCACCACCGTCCTTTAGAAACCAACTAGAAACATTTTCATCTCCACACTCTACCCAGACAATCCGAAACTTCACTAGGAACAACAACTCTGTAAAACACTATTTTTCAAATATGTAACTATTTTTCAAATATTGCTAATATTGCAATTTTTAAACTTTATTTGTATTTATTTATGTTAAACTTTTACTCATCTTTCAACTATGTATAGTTAAAAAGTCGGGAACTCAAGAAAACGAGCGCAGATAATCATTACCCCCCCCTACGTCACATACAGTTTTTACTGCTTTTTGGCTGAATAAATTTAAATCTAAACAATCAGGATTCGTCAACAATAGAAGATCACAGAATAACCTCACACAACAAAACCTAGAAGATTATAATTATTACATTCAATAATTAATTCTATAACGACTTGCATTATCAACTTCATCAACTCCCTCATACCAGCAATCAATACAATTCAGAATATAGTAAAGTTTATTTTAATAACAATAATGTAAATACAAGCCCTTAGAAATATATCATTCACAAATTGGAATGTAAACGGGATCACATTCAAAAAAATAGAACTGACTCAATATTTACACACATACAACATAGACATTGCTTTATAACAGAGACATACCTAAACAATAGAAATACGTTTTACATACCAGGATAGACATTTTATAGCAATGGCCGGATCGAAAATAAAGGAGGTGCTGTACTAATAGCAATCGGAAATAATATAAACCATCACGAAATTAATATACCAAACATCACAGGCATAGAAAGAGAAGCAATAAGGCTAACAATCAATAATCAATCGTGGAATAGAATAGCTACCTATAAACATCTAACAATAAAAATACTAGTCCTAAATAAGCTTAGTCTATTCACTCTAAATTTAAAAAAAACATTAATACTAGGCGATCTAAAGGCCAAACACAAACTGGGAATGTCGCACTAGCAATCAAACAGGAAAAACACTCACAAATTTTAAACAATACCACTATCAAATTACCATCCCTTTCAGAACCAACAAACTATCCAAGAGACTTAACAAAAACCAGACATCCTAGACATCGGACTGACTGACGGAAATATTAATTTGTACTCAACCCCATATCATGAACTCGACTCATTCCGGCAAATATACTTAACCGATAAATCCCATCCCCGCGATTCCCAATTCCCAAAATAAACACACTTAAATTAAACTGGATTAAATTCCAAATATAACTAGCAATTTAAAACCAAAAATAAAAATCTTGAATAATTCTATAGAAATTGAGAACGCCATAATATTACTAAACACCACCATACATACGAGCAATAACAGAAACGCAACCTACAATTACGCAAACGCATAACAATATTAAACATTAAGTTCTACCTGCAGAAATAAAAACAAAAACATAATAAGCCTAAAAAAACAAGGTCAAAACACTATAGACCCTAACTAAAAACCCACAAATAAAATCAGAACTAAACATATCAATTAATATAGTTAAAATATCAATAAAAATCATATAAATTTCAAATTCCAAAACAAGGTACAATCTTTAACAACAGAAAACCACTCTATATATAACTTCACAAAATAAATACTAAGAAAGAAAACAATAATTCCACCTATCAATTCACCTA